TAAGCCGAACGCTCCTTGAGGTAAGAAAATGAAGTTGCATTAAAGCCACTGTTGGCTTCCAGAGGTCAACAGAATCTGAAATGTGCTGCCTTTATCTTAGCATTGTTCATTGTGCGCACCATGTATGTACAGAATGTCTTGTAGCTTGTAGCAAAATCCCCCAAAAAAAGCTACTGAGACATTGTTTTACTGAGAGGTTAACAGCTAACATTGCACCTAAGGATTTATTTATTTTCGGTTGCGCAGAACCTGAAATATGCGGCTACTTCCTGTAATGTTGCTAGAAGACTATTAATGCCTTTGTGGCTGCACAAGGAGAAGGAGGAAAATCACTAATTTATTCGGACACTTTTATTACCACGACTACTGTTTTGTTTTTCGTGTAAAATCTCAAGTACAAACCTGACTTTGGATTTTGATTCTCAAATACATTCTTGACCGTAGAGTACTGACATTTGTCAGTGATGCCCAGGGAGCTGGGCCACAGGGGAGCAGCCAATCTGTGGCAATAGGTTTTATAGGACATGTCCTCTTGACCAGATATCTGTAAGACAGGGTCAACACACGGAGGTCACTTCCTCAATGTGACGACTCGAAGCACATGAAAAGTCACAGGAAGTGAAGCAGAACAGGTGTGACATTACCATCCACGCTGGCAGGTGCTGGTAGTACAGGTTTCCCGTGGTGATGAGCTGGTACAGAGGCATGTGTGGCACTGAGTTAAAGTCTCCACACAGAACAACGTTACAGTGTTCACCCTTAGCCTTAGCCGACGTGACTACACTGTCGATCTCGGCCAACATCATGGCTGCCTGAGCCAGCTTCACGTCGCCTCTCCTAGGGTTGAAGAGCAGGTGGGTGTTGCCCACGCAGAGAAGTGGGCTTGCGGTCTTGCTTTCGGACGCCTGGGCGACCAACGGACGAAGTAGCAGCACTATTCCTACGTTGTGTCGATTGAGCATCTCTATGTCAGGCCTGAAGAACTCCAGAAGTGAGACGGACACTTCAGAGAAGCAGCAGCTTCTGTAGCAGGTGGCGCAGCCGTCTGTCTTGGCTCCGGTGCGACACTTGTACACGCAGGTATAACCTGGAACATCAGCACAAAACACAAACATTCTAACAGTCCACAGCCATAAATTGCTCTTCTGTCTCAGCTGACCTACCAATCTGGCTCAGGACTGGATACAGTTGTTCATGGTAGTGGTTTTCCTGAACTTCTTGGAGACAAAGAATCTACACAGAAAGGGAAAAAAAAACACACACTACTTGTAAAATTCAAACTGAATTATTGCATAATCAAACGCAAGGACAAAACATCGCTCTAACGGCTCACATCTGGGTTCCATTTCACTATTTCTAAACGCAAGGACAAAACATCGCTCTCACATCTGGGTTCCATTTCACTATTTCGTCCAGCAGCACTTTGCAGCGGTAGTTCCAGTCCAGCACCTCCAGAGGACAGTGCATGTACAGATCTTCGTGGGTCTCCAGCAAATCCTGAGCCAGGATGTTGTAGGACATGACAGTGAATTCCATCGACGTCTTGGAGAACGGAAAGGGTACCAGGTCCGGCTCCTCCACTGGTGCTCTCTGCCATACTCTCCACATGACTGAGTGGAAGACAAGCACAGACACATAAACCTGGGCAAACAAACATATGACCATAATGATATTTCTATGCCACAGACTAAAAACATAACTCTATTGTTGTCTTAATTTTAGCCTGATTAAGCTTAAGGTTCTGACCACCGTTTGACTCTTACCTTCAAATGGTTCTATGGACTCCATGGAAGGGTAGTAACTCGCCACAGGAAATTGCCACAGCGGGCACTCGACTTCCTCTGCCAACCCTAGTCCTGCAGGGAAGTGCCAGCTCGTTTGTGTATTGTGTTGCTCGCTGATTGTGGTGTGATTCTGGTCGCTAGAACTTAAAGCGGGAAATACTAGCCTAGAACTGTTAGCGCCAACCTGCTCCTTGTCACTATCAGAAGTTAGCCAGTATTCATCCCAACACTCCGTCACCTCCACAGCTGCGTTCACCGACGACGACTCTTCTTCTTTCTGTACTGGACAAATGGTCTCTTGGGTTCCGTCTTCAGCTGGAACTACTGTTTCCTCTACAGCATGTGCTGGAACTTTTGCTAATCCTGAACAGATATGTTTCTCTGTAGCCTCATCTGTCTGCAGACATTTGAGCTGCAACTCAAGTGCTTGTTCCGGGCCGAGGTCCTCAGATTGAACACAGGTCGCATCCTCCTTGTTTCCATTTCCAGACTCATCGAAATCATCCGTTACGAGAACTTCTGGTTTGTCTTCTACTGCGTCGCTCTTCACAGAGCCGCTCTGTGGTTCTTCTTTGCTTCGCTCCATTTCAATGTTACCGTCTTTCATCCTTTCTTTCGTTTCTGCCACATCCGCAATGGTTGCATCGAGTTTCTGATCCAGTACGGCTGACTGACAGTGTGCTGCGAACCTCCTGGTTGTGACAGTACCACCGTTCCACTGTGCTGTGCCATGAACCTCTGCAGGAGGGAGACCCTTCTGTAAGGTATCTGCAAAACAAAATCGACATCACAGAATGGGCTAAAACCTTCAGGCATCAGGTACAGGCAAATATTTAAAAAAAAAAAGAAAAAGTTAATAAAATAAAAAATATTTAATTTTTTAAAGAAACTATTTAATTAAAAAAAAGATAAACATTTATATAAACCAAAAATTAAATTTCTGATTTACTGTCACAAAGAGGTGTATCTCTAGAAATTGCTTCATGTTGCATTGTTTTGTATTTTGTTTTGTATTTTGATATTTAAGTTTAAATGCAAATAGCAAAAATCGGTGACTGTCTCTCTATAATCACTGCAGTGGTTTCATTTCTTCATGTTACATTGTTTTGTATTGATATTTTAAATTTAAATGCGAATGGCAAAAAATCTCTATAATCACTGCAGTGGTTTCATTCATTACCAGCGGATTAAGAATGTGTTCAGTCACAAGATTTTTTTTTAAAAAGTTATGAAAATAACAGACTTCAGCGGCTGATACAAAATTCGCACCATATTTAATAAAGTATTTACATTTTAATTTAAACAATTTCAACATTTGAGTAAAAACTAACGACACACTCAGCCACAACAAAAGTTAAAAAAACAGACAGCGACAGCAAAACATGACCACGTGGTGACGGCCTTGACGTCACGGCAGCGTTAATATCGGGTGCAGACAAACACATGGTGGTCCGAGCTAAAGTTAGCCACACAAACAACATGACACGCACTGGTTTACTATGTCCACCTACGACAGAAAGCAGACGAAGCCTCTGATCGAGGCAACAACAGGAGACGGTCCACGTCATGCGAATGACGAACTTAAAAAAATACAAATGCGCAATCACACTGTTGGGACAATCTGCATCGCTGTCTGCAGCAAAGTAGGACTAAACTTTAGCAGCCGTTAGCTCAGCGTAGTTGCCCAGGGAAAAACCTATCCGTTAACATAATATCAGCCACGGTCGTCGCTGTGGAACAGTTTAAAAAAACACACACACGGAGTTTTACCTGAGCGTCGAGCAGCGGTTAGGTACCGCGAAAGAGGGTAAAGTGCATAAAATAACAGGCTGCCAATCATGGTTCACCACCAACATCACGCATGCGCGAACTGCTTGTGTGGGGGAGGAAGGGAGGGAGCGTACAGAATGGAGTAGTCGGGTTCCGTTTACTTATTCACGCTGAATATTAACAGTGTGAACAGTTTATTTACAGTAATAGTAAATATTTTAATCTGTCAAATACAACAACGAGAGTTTTATTTATTTGAGTGTTTTTTAAATGAACATTCTTTAAGATTTTCTCACTGTTAGCTTAAAAGTCACCGGACCAAAATCCTTTGTGAACCTTTTTAACCTATTAATATGTTGAGGTACTCCATGTAAATGGCCCTAAAATTAAATACATTAATGTTGCATTTAGTAATATCAATAACATCTGCAAGTGAGCAATGATAATTTTAAAAAAAGAAAGAAAAATCATACGTGACTTGTGGGTTATTTCTGAGCCAGGACACATTGGCTTGAACTTAAAAAAAAAGAAAGGAAAAAAAGTGCAGTGTAGCGGCTACAGTGAAGCATAAATTGTTAATGTAACTACACGAGCCACATTACCAGGGGGGTAGAATTTCCTGGTGCACTCCACAGGCCTATTTCATTTCACAGCACTAACACCTGCAGAGGAAACGGGAATGAAGGCATCACCTACTGACGACAATGTCGACGATATCTTTTGAGTCCCTTTGCCTAAAAGATGATGAAGGTTCATCCCCAACACACCCTCAAAGAGAGGACGACGTGTACGACACGGACTTGGAGTCAGATGGTACGTTGCCCAAATTGTCCTTTCTCCTTTGTTGGTTTCTTTTACAGCCTTGATCTGCTCTCATTTATAATTCTCAAGAACTTATAGCCCATACCTTAAGCTTTTTTAAAACAGGTAAAGAGACGACATAAGGTTTGGGTTGTAGGGTAGTCCAACTAAAAGCCTTTAGTTTCACAGTGGAAAACGGACATAGAGTAGATGACCAAGGTGATGGATGCCCTTAACTCAAGATTCAAGATGCCTTTACTTGTCACACATTAAAGAACCCAGACAGTGAAATGATAATTGCAATTAATTAAAAAAAAAGAAAAGAAAAAAATGTTAAAATTAATGTTAAAAATAAAGTCTAGACATGAAAATAAAAATAAAAATGGAAAGTAAACTGTACATATATTTACCCAGCTGTAAATGTCTTAATTTTCCGAAAGGGAACTCCCGAGGGATTAATAAAGTTCACTCTATCTATCTACCTACCTACCTACCTACCTATCTATCTATCTATCTATCTATCTATCTATC